GTAATTTTTGTAATTAGGGTTTTCCTGAACAACACCTTTTTTCCACACTGGATGTGCCTAAACTAAAACTAAAAACTAGTGTGCATTTTTGACTGTATATAGGCAAGTGCAAACGGGAAAAGAAATGTTTAAGTTGGCAGTCACTGAGGCAGTCATTGTGTAATGGTTTAGGGTTAGTATGTGTATATTGTGGTTTGTAAAGGATGTTTTCACCTTTACAGCACCCAGCAGCATACAGCCTCCAGCTATAATAAAAAGACACCTGCCTACAACGAACGCTTTATTATTTTCTGGAATTACAGGTAATTCATATACTGTTAGGTGGGAGTCATATTATAAAATTCAAATGTGGCTGCTTTTCTTTGTGTATTTCATAATGAAAATATTCCAGGATTGTTTTCCACCTTCCATCCATAAAATCCAAAAGTCTCTTTTGCTACAAGAACGACTGGATAAAACGTTTAGATGTAAATTATATCTAGATTAATAGGAGCGATGGATAAAAATGCATTAGGTAAAAAAAATAAATCCCAGTTTTGAAAGCAAGACTACAGTTTTATACTACTAAAAAAAAAGCTAGTTTAATTAGTTCCCAACCACTGAGAAGAATAAAGTGATGAAACTGGTCATTTATCATCAGAAAATAAGAGGTCAAAGGGTTTAAAACAGAAGATCAGACTTTTTTTTAATCTTTTACACCTGCACACACGCACACACTTTCAGTCTATTTGTTGTTTAAAAAAAAAAGCAATTCTATAATTTAATACATTTGTAGTCGTATGTCATCTATTAAATCTACTGGCTCATCTTACCTTTTTGTGTCTGTCTTTAAAAGGCAACGCCGGCCATTGCATCTCCTGTAAGAAGTCCTGCCACTGTTTCTGGTCCTGATCCGAAGAGATGAAGACGATTTCCAATTTGTCTTTGTGCTCCGACGATTTTTTAAACTTGCTGTAAAACTCGCACAGACTCGCGTTGAACTGCTTGCAGGGACCGTTTAAACTGCAGCCGAAGTAGAGCCCGAGCAGAGACAGCTTGCTGCCCAGCGAGTGAACATCCACCTCGGCTTTCTCTCCGTTGACGAGCCGCTCTCCGAGCAGATTCACCAGAAACTCCGACATCGCTGCTGAGCCCTCGAAGCGGACTGCGCTTGGTTTTCTTGGCTTATTCGAGCGGTTTTAAGGTAAACCCAAAGTGCTCGATGGATATCCGCAGGCCCTGGTGCCCAGTTTGGCAGTCCCGCGGTTCGAGAGACAGCGGCCGTCGTGTGCCTCCACTGTGCGCGGTGTTGAGGAATGCGCTCCTGTTATAGAGCGGCCCACAGCAACAGCGCCGGCCGACTCCCGCTGCGAGACTGTCGCGACATCTAGTGGCGAGATGGTGCAATTGCACCTCGGCGTTCTCGGTCCACAGGGACACCACGTCTCTATCTCTGCATAAAATGATACTTTTTTTCTTTTTTGTATAGATGAATGTATAGACGGATTCTCAGAGTAACAGTATCAGTACATGTCATGTTTTTGGGTAAGTATTCACTCCTTTCATTTAAGGAGAAAGTGGTGTCTGAGTTACAGTGATTACCTCATGCATCCCCTGTTCATTTCAATTACCACTAAAAGCAAAAGAAAAACAACGGTACGGTGAAAACTGCTCTACTTGAAGCAAAAAAAAAAATGGTGCACAGGAAAATTGCAACCAGATTCTGTATGATAAACACCTATAACTGTATTGCTTGATAGGCTAGCTGAAGTTAGGAATAAAAACAAAAACCCACAACTGCTTGGTGCACAATAATTTCCCATCATATTTACTTGAAAACGCAGTTAGACATGCAAAACATTTGCAGATAGATTTTTCAAAACATTTTAATTTTGTCCTGAATATAAACAATCAAAATGGCAACAGCCATAATCATATCCCATAGGCTAGGATTATAAAACAAATTTCATTTATGTTTACTGTATCTTAATTGATTCAGTTCTTCAGTTCACTCAAAATGAAGATTGTGCTCCACTTGTTCCAAATCTGTATGAGTTTTTTTCTTCTGCTGAACACAAAAGAAGTATTTTTTCCTACTATGGAAGTCAATGGCTACTGTCAACTGTTTGGTTACAAACATTCTTCAAAATATCTTATTTTGCGTCCAACAGCTGAAAGAAATTCATACAGGTTTGGAACAACTTGAGGGTGAGTAATTGATGATATAATTTTAATTTTGGGGTGAACTATCCCTTTATCAAGGTTGACTTGAAAGTGTAGTAAAGTCCCTTTTTTGAATATCACTTAAAAAAAATAAGCTTGAAATGTCTGATGATGTTACAAATGAAATCTTCCAGTATACACAGTTTTATTTGCACAAATGCTTTCCAGACTTGTACAATCACCACAACATAATTCCAGGCCACAATTTGTTTTGCTGAACATTGCAGGGCAGAAGCATAGATTACAAATGACAAAAGTAGAAAAACTGTGTCAATCATTCAAAGAGAATGTTTAAAATGTGGTTGTCTTCAAGCAGTACATCGCAGGACATTAATCCTCTGTGAACAACATTCGAACCAGGTCTGCTTTAAAACACTCCTCTTCAACCAGCTTCTGGGGCTTAAAACAGACAAACATAGTACATTTGCAAGACGCATACAAATTTAAAGTGTTAAATTCACTTATCAAAGAACTTTTACAGATCTTTACCGTGCCATAGCGCAGTAGTGTGGGTACTCCATTCAGCTTCAGATTCTTCTTAAAGTCATTATTTGGGTCCTTCCAGCTGGCAAGAACAACAATTAGATGTTAACTCTTAACCAAACCAAACAAGTCAAAAATGTAAAAATTAAAACTAATCCGGATGAGTTTGTTTGATCATCAGAGCAGATTTAGAGAAATTTTGCATGACATTAATTACTCATCAATGGATCCTCTGCAGTGAATGGGTGCCGTCAGAATGAGAGTCCAAACAGCTGATGAAAACATCACAATAATCCACACCACTCCAGTCCATCAATTTACATCTTGTGAAGCAAAAAGCTGCTACAATCTATAATAACACTTCCTCCATCATGCAGTGAAAAAGTCCATGCTTCTTGTTCTCTCACATAAAAATCCACCGACATATTTGTTTATAACTGTTTTCGCTGCTTGATCTGTGCATATTTCTCTCCTGATTCAAGGGAACGACTTTTTCACAGGAGGAAGCAATATTATGGATAGAGGACTCATATTTTAGTAAGAAGCAATGGTGTGAACTTAAAAACATCTTAACGATGAATTAGTTTCTTAATAAACAAGCAGGTTTCGCTTCACAAGATTTTAACTGACAGACTGGAGTCGTGTCGATTACTTGTAGAGGTTTTTATCAGCTGTTTGGACTCTCATTCTGACGGCACCCATTCACTGCAAAGGATCCACCGGTGAGCTACTGACATCATGCTAAATTTTTTCAAATCTGTTCTGATGAAGAAACAAACTCATCTACATCTTGGATGGCATGACAGTGAGTACATTTTCAGCTCATTTTAATTTTGAGTGAAATATAACTTTAATCTAAGCCAAAACTAAATCTAAGCACTATCTTGTATACTATATGCTGCAACATACATTAATTCTCTCTGTTTGCCAATGTAATTGGAAGGATGTCTTGTAAACTTACTAAGGTCTATCTCCTACTTGGCAGTAAATGAAGACAGATCCCTCCGGCAGATGAGACAGCTCTCCTCTGACCACTGGCTGTGCTGCATGAGCAAAAAAAGGAAAAACTCTTCTAGTTTAGAATTTTTGAAACAGCACAGCTACTCTATAATGTTAATATACCTTTCACACAGTCCGGACACCAGCTCTTGCCCTGGTCATCTTTATCTCCAGAGAAGTAAGCGAATATGTCTTTTCCTTTTCTTTCAGACACAGCTTTACAAAATTCCTCGTAGCCGTGAACAGCAACGTCCTCGTATTTAGTCATGATTTATTTACTATTTAGTGTTTACTGGGAATCAGTTGTTCAGTGACCAAGTCCAACTCAAGCTACAGAAAGCAGACGGATCTTTGTATGAAGTCAGCTGACTGTACGCTAACAGCAGTGAGTGAAGTGTGAAGAAATCATAGACTGTAAATGCGCTTGTACTTTTTCCAAAATAAGAGTGGACTATTTTAAAATAAAAGTGGGTTTTTAAAAATATAATAGTTGTACCACAACTGAGCATTTTGAACACATATATTATAATTGAAATATTATTTCTAGATTATTACATATTGTTTATTCATATTTTATTATATATTTATTATATGCATAAACAATAATATAGATAGATAGATAGATAGATAGTGAATATATATAGATATGTATGTATATACATATATATATAAATTAAAATATCGTGAAAAAGTTCATTTTTTTGTAACTTATTTCAAAAAGTGAAACTTGCATATATTCTAGATTCATTACGTGTAAAGTAAAACATTTCAAAAGTTTTTGTTTTTGTTTTAATTTTGATGATTAGAGCTTACAGCTCATGAAAGTCAAAAATCCA